ATAATGTATTTCCATAGTAATCAAATGGTAGCCTCGCCCGCTCTAGTGCCATCACCAAGTCCTCAGCATGCCATTTTGACAGGACCAACTCGGTCCGTGAATTCCGTAGGTATGTTCAGATAATCGAGAATTAATAAACATAGAAGGTCAACATATATAAGAAAAGGAAAAGGGGAGAATGGAATTATAATATTAAATACATATGTTGAATTAAATACAACTACATAGGTATGGCACCATCTCCAAGCAGTTCATTAAATACTCCCGGAGGTGTAGGCGCTACACCAAGTCCTCAACAAGAAGATCAGGCTTATAGAGACAAAGTTAGACAGTTGAGTAAATACATAGAACCATTACGAAGAATGATTGCCAAGATGAGCAGCGAAGGAAGTAAGAAAATAATATTACATGATTAATACAAATAATAACATTGAAAAGTAAATGTGTATGTATATATACAAGATATAAAATTTTCAAAATATTAAAAAGATCTAGTTTACTTTAAAGTAAAAAAATTTATTCTATGAAAATTAATATACCAAAAAATGTATTTAAAGAGTATAAATATATGTATATAATATAAATATTTATTAATAAATTTATAAATATTCATAAAATAATTTCTTATATTTAGAAGTTTCAGCAAAAAAAAAGAAAGTGACATTTTTGATATTACATATGCCTTCCTGATAACAATTTGAATAAATAACTAGGTACTGTAAATAAGTACTGTTTATATTTGTCTATTTTCTGTTGGGCAGATGTTGATAAACTCAGCAAAATGAAGAAACTCTTGGAAATTCTATCAAATCCCAGTAAACGTATGCCGTTGGATACGTTGCTAAAATGTGAAGTCGTCTTAGAAAAATTAGACTTTAAGAGAGGAGACGGTAGCGTGGGACCGCCCTTAAAGGAGCACCAAATTTTCAGTCCGCTATTAGAAGCCGTAAGCGCACATCTCCAAAGTCCGGTAATCAATCACACATTGCAACGCACTTTTGGCCCATGTTTGGATGCATTATTTGGACCAGAGATAAAGTAAGAACGCATGCATATATACAAATCGATTACATTTTTTATTTTATGTAATAAATTGTAATCAAAAATTGAAATCAAACAATGTTGATATTATAGCTCAATAAATAAAAAATTCGATATAAAGGCTACGAGTCAAATATATATATTATATTTAAATCAATAACAAAACACTAAAGAATATAATAAATACATCGAAGAGACATTATAAACAATTATTACAGAAACAAACCATCGTTTATTTAGTAAACAAACCGGGGTCTGGTACACCTGGGAAAAAGCTAACGATAAATCGTAATCTTAATTTGAAGTTGCTACTGATTTCAATACAAGTTCCAACTATCTCAGCCCAAGTCGATCCATTTTGTTTAGCAATTGCTTCTTTTGTTTCTGTAATAATTGTTTATAATGTGTCTTTTCGATGTATTTATTAATTTATTATATAGCCTTTATATTATATCGAAAAATTGAAATATTATATTCTATGATCTCTGTATAAAAATAGAAATTTGCCACCACCTTTGAAGAAGCAAAAAATAGAGGAATCACCTAGTGAAATACCAGACGTATTACAAGGAGAAATAGCTAGATTGGACCAACGATTTAAAGTATGTAATATCAGCTTTTAAGCTCATTTTGTATAAAAAGTAAAAATTTATGTTTATTTTGAAAGTTTTAATATCTGGTGTTGTACCTATAAAAATGATCTGATTTTATAATTCGTAAATTTTTTTTATGTATAGAATAACATATATACAAACTACGCATTTTTGTATCTGGCTTTTATAATTAAAAAGATAGTATACATAAATATAATTATTATTAATCATTCAATTTTTATTTCAGGTCAGTCTAGATCCAGCGCAGCAAAGTGGATCAAGATGCATACAACTGATATGTTGGCTTGACGATCGTCATCTTCCATGCGTTCCACCGATTTCGGTTACAGTTCCCGCAGACTATCCTTCAACACCACCTCGTTGCGTCATGGCACCGCACGAATATGAAGCAACGACATTTCTGTGTGCCGTACAAAAGGCCTTGAACGTCCGTATCGCAAAATTGCCGCGCCGTTTCTCTCTTTCTCAACTATTGGACACATGGGAGATGAGTGTGCGACAAGCAAGCGCACCAAAGGAAATGTCTATTACTGCCAGTACAGTCCTGATGGGTTTATAGTACAAATCGCGTAAATATCTAATAACATTAAAGATGAATAACAGTCGAAAACGTTAGACAGTAACGTAAGCAATAGCAAATAAAAAATGTTAATTTGCTCAGTGCTTACATTTTCTATATGTCATTGATCTTATGTAACAAGGTTATTGCAAGCAAAAATGCTAATAAACACAATGAAAATCTATATATAATATTATACTGTTGCAATAAAATAAGTATCAACTCTTCAAAAATTCATATTGTAACCTTCTTTGGTTAATACCTGCATATTAACCACAGATTCTAATTTAAAAAAAATGTTTTTTTATCTCTCCATCAGAGCATTTTAGTAAATTGAATTGATTTTAATAAATTGAACAGTGAAAAACATTTATTTAAATTACTGATTTCTTTAGATGTATAATATATCTCTATGTAAAATCTGTTTTATTAAATATATTATTTTCAATTTTATATAAAACTAATTATATATAGAAAGTGGCAGTTTTTCAAATATATGTTTATGTACATATCCGTATATGTAAATATTAATGTACAGTATTGTAAGAAATCTCTTTAATGGAAAGGGATATTAGATATATTGTCAGGAAAGGCAGCGGAATCTCTGGGCATAGTTACAGGATTCTGATAACAAATATAATTTTATATTATCATTAAAATCACTAGTTTATTTTATTATTAAACTGTACAAAATTTGAGAACTGGAGAGAAAGCAGCCTCGCGCGTGACGTAACGAAACACGATCTCTATCGGTTTGTCTCTGCCAGCATTGATACGGAAATCTTCTCGCGACTGAGTCTCGGGAGCTCTTGCTTCTCCCAGACACATCTTTTCGCTTGCTCAGTTTTTCCAGATCTCAAATCGTAACGCATTTGCTCCGATCCGCGCACTTGCTACGAAATGGGAAATCTTAGAATTTACGGCGCTATCAAATTCGATAGATGCGAACGTATAATCGATACTTTATATCAATATATTCACACAACTATTACCTAACAATAAACATATTTATTTCTTACAATACAAATATACATAAAATGAAATCATGTAATTTATTGACAGTGTCGCTGCGCTTGACTTAGCGCCGAGACATTACCGTATCTCCAGATTTATATAGATACATTTCTATAAAATTTATGGTAATTTTATAATTATAGCTTATATTGGTAAATATATGAAAAATACAATGTTTTTTTTTATTCGATTATTTGTAATTTTACACAAATTAATTACTTTATCACACAATTATATATTGCAATATGTATATTACATACATTAACATGTATGTATATTCTTATTAAATACATAGTATTACATTAGATATACTAGTATATCTTAATTTATACCATTAAATCGTCTGAATCTAACAGTAGTAATGAGTTAAGAGTAGTAATACGGTCCAAATCAAACCAAGCATTTTTACAGGATTTCACTGGGATTCCTGATACATATATCAATTTGATACGATACTCGCAATATTCAGAAATATTAAATCAGACAACACTGAGTACCCTGCAAGTGTTTATACTGATAATAGAATAATAAAATCGGCGAATTATTACAACAATTTTTGATAGGTTGCGTGAGAACGGCTAATTTTCAATTCATCAAGATCCGTTAAGAGCAGAGATATAAGTAGAAAATCGTGTTCTGTACCACTTTGATAACAATCCTGAGACTAATGTTCGGAGAGTATCAGCTGCGTTACAATTGCTATAGTACAGAATCTGCCAAATTTTAAGAGATGATAACCGCCATACTCAAAAAGTGCAGAATTTATTACTTCGGGATTATTTCAAAAAGTTGAATTTTAGCAATTAGTTTCTTGAACAATCTAACAATGACAATTCATTTCTATCAAAAATAATCTTAACGAACGAAGCTACATTCAGGATTGGGCATGTATTTAAAATACTTTTATTTGAAAACAGTAAGACAATTGTATCATATATTTTGTATTTCAGCGGAGTACATGAAAATATTCTGCATTTTATATTTTATGGAAGTATATAAAAGTATTTTATATTTTTTGTATTTCAGTATTAATAATAAAAGATTGAAAGTATTTTGTATTTTAAATACTAAGATAGACAATTAATGTTATTATTCCACACAGAATTATAAGCATGTAACACCTAAGGAGATAAATCCAGCCGACCGTTAAAGGCAATTTCTTATTGGTTGTGTTTCTCACATGTACAGTCCTATAAGATTTAATATTTAAATATTATTATTTAAATTGTGAAATACATAAAGCTTTTAACTGCTTTTAACCTTTCAGTTTAAAATAAAAAAAATATGTAATACTTTCATGTACACCGCTGAAATATAAAATCTACTTTTATTACGAAAACTGTGTTTTAAGTAGACCACCCCGATCACTTGATTTGACATCACTGAGCTTCTTTGTGTAGAAAGTTTTAAAGCAGGAAGTTTATTCGTCGTCAATCAATTCAAAAGAATAATTGAGAAATTAAATTGAGACTGTAGTGCACCAAATATCACCAGATCAGTGTTTAGCTACAACACAAGCTTTTCGTACTAGATGCAATGCATTGCTGCAAGGACCAACATTTTGAACAATATCTACATTAAGCAAGTGAATAAGTAATAAAAAAAAAGTACAAAATGAAAACTACGTTTTGTCTTTTTTGCGATTCCAAACCGAAGCAAAAACAAACATCTCTACATGACTTTTTTTCCTTAATTTATCAATCCCCTATACGCTCTCGAAGTTTTTACATTTAAATTTCGGACACTGTATATAGATATACTTACAGGGTGTTCGGAAATTTAACCAATAAAGTTTCAGAGATTGTCGGGAACATCAAAGGGATTATTTTTTGCAACCTTGAACCTAGGATCCTATGATCCTAATACGATGTATTAGTATAGACCATCTGTAGCTACGACAGACAGAGAATGTTCGAGAAAGATCGGATTTCGAATATCTCAAAAAGTATAAGTTTTACAAAATTGTTTCAGACAAAAGTTGTGTAGGTTGTAAAAAGATTTATTTACCAACCTTATGAGTTTGACCTTGTTGATTCCACCCAAGGTCAAAGTGTACGTACATTTTAATTAATATATTGTTCCATTCTTCGCCTCCATACTTCGCCCATATATCAGTGCAGAGTGTTTCATCAGTTGACTAGCGAAATGCGAAGAAAATTGGGAAAAATACAAAGCTTGAAGCTTGGTGACAGAGTCGAGTTGATTTTCAAACGTTCTGAAAAGTTGACAGATTGTGCCCTTTACCAATAAGTTTTTTTTTTTTAAGAGTAATAACATTTGTCTGTTTGTTTCGCGCATGTGCAAAAGTGTTACAAAAATATGCTTGTTTTTGGAAACAATCAATTCTGGCGGTAGACGCAACATCTTATATAGAGGTAACTTTAATTTAAAGTTTAGAAATGTGCTGCGATTGGTAAGCAATCCCATTTGACAATAGATGGTCAATTTCACTAGGTTGAAATTTTAATTCAGTTAAAATTTGTACAGTGTCTTCACCGACTTGTGGGTTTCTTTGAACTCCAAGAGAAATTCCGGGTGTTCGAGATAAACGAGGAGCAGGATTTGGAATTAAATCGTCTCCTACAATCGTAAATGTCTGTCTCTGCTTATTGTGAACATGTAACATGACGTCTTTCAAATTTAGCACCGGTGTCACGCATGCATCAGTGCCGTCAAATATAGCGCACCATTCCGCTTGAGTCTTCGTTTTGAAAATTTCCGTAATTTTACGACGATTTTCTTCAAAATTTTCGTATTGTGGTACTTCGTCGCTTGAAAGACCAAGTTTTTCTAGAAAGATTTCATAAAACTGTGGTTCGATCGCTCCAACGCACATGTAAAATTTATCTTTCGTCTCGTATGTATCGTAAAAATGTGATCCTGTGTCAAGACTGTGAAAAAATAATTAAAAAAAATTCTTTACAAAACAAAAGTCAAAAACACACTTGTATGTCCCAAAGAAGTACTTACAGATTTTTACCACGTGGTTTTTCCCAAATACCCATGTTTTGCGATCTGAATAACCAAGATCCTAAATATGCTGATCCCTCTACCATTGATGCATCTATCACCTGTCCAATATTGCTCTTAGTTCGCTCATATAATGCCAAGATTATTCCAAGAGCGCACATCAATCCGCCGCCGAAATCAGCAGCCAGATTGACAGGTGGTATAGGCTTTTCATTATATCGACCAAATAAAGACAGTAATCCTATATTAATAATTTACAGTCTCGTATATATAAAATAATTAGGTTTTATCGTAAAATATAAAGCATAAAATGCATTTTATTTTTATGCGAATACAATTATAATGAGTACAAATCTAATATGAATTGTTATATTACAATGTTGTATGGGATTTTAATATATTACCAGATAAACCTAAATAATTGATATCATGACCAGCCATATCTGCAAAAGAGCCAGTTTGACCGTATCCAGTTAACCTAGCATATATCAATTTTTTATTTGTTACCATAAGTTCATTTGGTCCAATCTTCAACCTTTCCATGACTCCTTTTGAATATATAGTAATTACATAAATTTTAAAAAATTATTCTTAGTTATTATTAATACGAAAATTTAAAATTAGACATTTCCTTGTTTAAGGAATGCTGAAGCCGCCTGTATTACCGATAGCGTTGAAAAAACTAGCGTTTTGACGTTTTCGTTCCTGTTTAATTTCTTCGTAATAATTTCGCAGAATAAAAATTTCTTCTCCACGATTTAAATATTCAGGCTAACATACCTTCCCCTAGTGTATTTTGTGTCCAAAGCTAGAGAAAGTATGAAATCATAGATTTCTTTATCCATTTAATTTCAATATAACGCGACCAATGTGCTGAAGATAAAAATGGATAAAGAAATCTGTAATTTCATATTTTTTCCAGCTTTGGACACAATATAAACCAGGGGCAAATACATTAGCATGAATATTTAAATCGTGGAAAGGGAATTTTTATTCTGCGAAATTATTATGAAGAAATTAGACAGGAACGAAAATGTCAAAAACGATAGTTTTATCGATAATACAAACGGCATTACTTTAAAAGTATGATTTCAAAGTACATTAAAATTTAATAATACTGTATATACATATGTACCTCTCCTGTATGTATCAATGACAATGTCGCTTTGGTCACTTAATTTTTTGAAAATATTAATGCCCTCTTCAGATTTCAAATTTAATGATATTGATCTCTTCCCATGGCCCAAACAATCTAATGATTGAGTTTCAAGCTATAACATGATAAAAACAATCAAGATATAAATATTCATAGAATAAAACTCTTTACATTAAAATTATACTTTTGAATCGTATTGTGAATAAAATTAACTACAATGTTATGAAATATCAACAAGAGAATAAAGATTTCGAGAAAATAAATGTAATATAAATTTTTAGACGATATAAATATGTAGAAGAAACACAGAAATGTAAATATTTAGATCTAGGAGACAAATATCAGTTATTCGCGCGTGTAAATAAAATGTTTATTAAAAATGTTAATAAAAAATAATTAAACATTTTGACACCAACACATTTTAAGTTATTTTCAATAATTACAAAAAGGCGAAATGACTAATTTTTTTACATAGTTAATTAATTATTTAACATAATTTTAAACTAAAGTCAATTAATGTACTCATGTATTGTAAATTAAGAAATATCTTTTGCTGAAATACATTTTTTTCTCCCATCAGAACATGATGAAACACTGTTTCAATCGGTTATTCAATCGTTTGGTGAACAATGATGATTTTATCTTATCCAGTATGTCATCGCATTTTTTTTCTTCAAAATAGTGCTTTTACCGTATATCTATTTAGCGTTTTAGAATATAAGACATATTTTTTTTATATAGAATTTTTGTACATCTGAAGAGAGCTGAATCATACAGCTGAAACATGTAATGTTAATTAAAGTAAAGTTTCTTTAATATAAACAATAAGTAAAATACAAAATCAAACGTTTCTATCCTTATCGGCTCATCATCAGTGTATATAAAATTTAAACGTAGATACAGTTAACATCTTGATACAATGTATGAATATATGATGAAATAATCTCACATGGAAGAGGAAACCTTCTATTAATATTTAGAATCGGTAAAAAAAAACAAAGAGACATTCTCATAATGATAACGATCGTCACCTTTGCACGATGAGGAGAGTGAGAGGAAACTCTTATCTTTATTTTTAATACCACCATTTAGTTGAGAATGTCTCTTTTTGTTTTTTACCGGTTCTAAATAGAAGGTTTCCTTCCATGTGAGATTATTTCATCATATATTTATACATTGTATCAAGATTTTAACTATATCTATACGTTTAAATTTTATATACACTGAAATGATAATCTAATAAGGGTAGAAACGTTTGATTTTACTTATTGTTTATATTAAAGCATCTTAGACTCGTAGCCTATTGAGTTATTTATTTATTTTTTGAAATTTGAGTCTCTATTTTAATATAGTAAGGTTTATTCTTTGATTTTTTTTTTGTAGTATCTCAGTACTTTTATTTGAATATTTGATAAAGTGTTTCTATTTATCAGACTCTTATTGGTCCTTTTGTATTACATAATCGTTATTTTTGAAATACGTAAGAAGTGTGTGTTAATATTAATTGTTAATTTTTTCAAAGATTAGACTGATAATGGAATCTCGTCAAATTATATGTGATATTGAGAAACAGCATTATAGCTAATTTGCCTGTTTTTGAAGTCAAAATGGTTTCATTCTTAATGTGAATAGTTTATTAATATTTACTATTAATAAAAGGATGCGATTAAATAAATAAAAAGGATACGACTCACTAAATAAAAATAAATTAAAATGTAGCGCGAAATGAATTCAGTTTTTCAGAAATACGCATTCATTTTAAAAGAAAATATATCAAAATTATATGTACAGGGTGTCTAATAATAATTAATTGTAAAATTCTCGTATATAGAGATAGAATGGATTAAACTGAGAAGAAAAGTCCTTTAGCATTTTTTTTGTATTAGTTAACGAGTTATTAATTGATGAAAATTATCAAATTTGTCCGGTTTACCGCCAAATACAAGCGCGCGGCAAGACTGCCTAAAGAGACGTACTTACCATATGTATATAATAGAATTTCGATGCTAATAATGCTGAAGACTGTAACTTTCGAGTCTCATAACTCGGAAAGTACTTAATGAAAATAAATTTCATTAAAATGCTTTGAAAAGCTCTTGCTGTCAGCTATTATATTTTGAAATAAAAAATATGTTCTATTTAAAAAAAAAATCGATACCTTAACGACGCTACCCAAGGTCATTGGTACTTTCTTATGCCCCCTTCCGAACTATACAACTTTTATTTGAAACATTTTTCCCCGTATTTACCACAGTTATCGAGAAATCTTAATGCATTATATAAATGAGACATCTTGTATATATGCATAAACAGCTGCTGACTTTTATAGATATTGACATTTTTGTAAAATATTAATGTAATATTATCATGTTATTTAATATTAATGATGTGATAATATTAATTTCTACTATAATGTAAGCTACAAAAATATATTTAGTATATGAATTTTAATAGAGTACTCTGATAAAATTTACTTCTAATTACCTTATCCACTCTGGTAACAGATGCTCCAAATTCTGCCAAAATCATTCCACAGAAAGGTCCTGGAGCAAGTCCAGCTAACTCTACAACCTTAATTCCTTTTAAAGCCATAGCGTTTCTGTTGATAAATTAATGAAACTTCAATTTTATAAAAATGCAGTTTTTCACCTGATATTTATTTACAATACTTTTATTAGAGCTAGGTATGTATTTGAAATACTTTTATTTGAAAAATGATATTTATAAAACAATGGTATCTCTTGTATTTTGTATTTCAGTGGAGCATATGAAAACATTTTGCACTTTATATTTCATGGAAGTATATAAAAGTATTTTGTATTTTATACATCAATATTAATAACAAAAGATTGAATGTATTTCATATAATTTCAAATACTAAGATTGAAAATTAATTATGAAACACATAAAACTTTTAATCTTTCAATTTTAAATATAAAATAGAAAATACACTTTTATTGCAAAAACTGTGTTTTAAGTAAAAGTATTTCATATGCATACCCAGTCCTGTTGTTTAGAACATTCTAACAAAACATTTGATTATATTAACTCTATACAATATTTATATGAACCTTATAAGAGTCATTATATTTAGTTTAGCCCCTTAAACCTCAAAGATCAATGAAATTAGGCTTACTCGACGCATTTTTGCATGAAATGAAATAATCTGGCAGAAATAAGTCGTTCTGCCCCGCAAACCGAGATATTTAAAAACGTTCATGTTGAGGAATATTAAGGCTAGGAAATGTGTCAGTCTATATATTAAAATACTTATAAGTACTCATAATGACATATTCTTCAGCATTGATACGTACACATATTGATTATAACGATAGCATATTAATATATGATTATACAATATAATACAGCATTTTTTAGACTTTTTTTTAAATATTTTAATTATTTTTTCCGTAACACATCGCTTTTCGCGTAAAAAAAGCACGAGAAAAATTACAAAGTATTATACAATAAGTATTTTCTCGTTAAGTATTATACTTACAAGTATTTTCTCGTTATAACGATATATATTCTTCAACGTTAATCCATAGACAATAAATAGGTTATTATACAGAATAGGCAGTTTAGAAATCAATAAAATTAGGCTTATTTGACACGTTTTTGCATGAAACAGAAGGATCTGGTAGAAATAAGCGTCGCTCTACTCCATGAATTGAAATATTAAGCATTGAAATTGACAACTGTAGAGATTAGAAAATCTATCAAACCAACTCTACATGCCGCTATGAGCATGATATAAACACAAGGACATGGTTACGTATATCATTATGCATATGTTATGCAGTTATGCAAGATACACTATGCACAAGGTATGCTTATGCACATCAATAAATCACGTGATTGTCCAATGGTCAATTAGAAATTGTCATCAAGTTACGTCATAATTACGCGATGAATTCGAAATTATTATAATTTCCTTGCAATACGCATTATAAAAAATTACGGTAAACATTTACCGTACATACAGAAGACACTCCTCACCTTCAATCTCAACGAAATTATGCGAAATTACGCGTCATTCGACGCGTTTTTGCATAAAATGAAAGAATCTCCGAGAATCTGGCAGTTAAATGTGCCCAGTCCCACGAAGTGAGATATTTATTGTTAAAGTTCACTAATTGAGGTTATGAAATCTGTCATATCGGTATGATGTAACGAATTGTTACACGTTTGCAGACTTGGTGACATGTATGTACATTCACTGTCTAGTCTGTAACTTCTAGGCAGTTAGATCCCACGCGGGTATGGGATATACGTTAAGATATATTATTTTTTTGTAAATGTTAAGAAGACCCCGCTCACCTCAAACTTTGATAAAAATACACTCATTTGACGCGTTTTTGTGCGAAATGAACGAATCTGGCAGAAAAACATCCCGCTGTGCCCTGCGAACCGAAATATTAAGCGTTAAAGTTGACGACTATACAGGTTAAGAAATCTGTTAAGCTCAAGACACAATGCGAGGGAATAACGATAGTGATAAGTTTCAACTTATCAGAAATCGAATACATATCGGAATACACATTTTTGATAGATTGAAACCACCATATTATTCCTATCGCAATCGTTATTCCCTCGCATTGTGTCTTGGACTTCACAGCCGCGAAATACTGCGCTACGACCATGCGCTGCGATTATACTTTTATGTTCTCTTCCATAAAGTGAAAGGAAAAGAAGGATTATGATTAAGGCCTCTCATTATATTACAAGCAATTAATGTTAATTTCAGGAAACATTTATCTCTAATTAATTAATCTTCCATTGTCGTCTTGCATTATAATTTAAACATAAGTTACAGTTTAAGAATGATCGATTTTCGGTCAAATTCGAGACATTTAAAAATGATTTATTTATGTAAACGTAGAATATTTTGTACATGATTACATTTTAATAATAATTACATTATTAAGATGGATCAACAAAATGGCGATTACAAAAAACTATTTTGCGTTTCTATAAAATACAAATATATATCTTATTTTTGGAACAATACGTTATTATAAAAATCAATTATATTGAAATATTAAAATCTATATATTAATCTCTTAACATAATCGATAAAGATGCATGCAGAAAAAGATAGAAATGAGTACAAATATGTAATACGATAGTATATGTAATTAGAGCAAAAAGAATATATCAAATTTTTTTTTCAAAACAGAATTTAAATTTATCATGACACGAGAACTATCTCTCATTTTTTTCCTAATACAAAAGAATTTTTGAATAAATTATCAAACAAATTCCAACATCAAGTAGTTTCATAATAGTCTAATATTAAATGTGTCTTCAGTATTACTATAATATTATGTGATCAAGAGTTTCTATACAATGATCATATCAAGGTATAACAAAAGAAAGCAACAACAATGTAATTCTGAATTCCATTACATGAAGCCTTTATAGACAATTTATACTACTTCTTTAATTATACTTTCTATTCATGTATTACTTGTTATTATTCTCCCCATTGTTGACCAGTTTTTCTCTTACAGAGAGTTGCATCTAGCTGTTTGAGCCATGGTAATAATAGCATGACTTTTCTTCTATAATTTGGATCTTTTGCAATGGGATTGTGCTCCAGATATATGGTCTGCAATTGTTTGTTGACTGTTAAACTTTCCAACGTGTTCCAATCTTCAATTTCATTGTTATTCATCTGTAAATGTTGAATAAAAATAAATGACTAGTTATAATATTATAATATAGGTACATTATATGTATAATATAGAAATACACATTTATTGATCAATTCCTCTTACCCAGAAATCTTCAAGATTTTCAAGATGATCCATATTTTGAATCTTTTTAATTTTGTTATTTGCTAGATCCAACGTTGTTAATTCTGGACAATTTTCTATGCTCTCTATACACATTATACCATTTTCAGACAAGTACAATTGATTCAACTTCTTTAATTCCTCAATATGCTCAATCTTTATAATTCGATTACTTTGTAGACTTAACAACGTGAGATTTTTCAGGTTTTCCAAGTTTTGGATTTTGGTGATTTTGTTTTTACCCAAAAACAAATTGGTCAGATTCTCAAGACCCTCGAGATTCTTAATTTCACGTATCTTATTATCGCCTAATTCCAGCGTCGTAAGATTTGTTAAGTGTGAGATATTCTCAATTTGTAAAATTTTATTTGACGATAAAAATAATTTTTGTAAATTCAATAAGCTACTTAACCCTTCTATCTTCTTAATGCGATTGAATGACAAGTCCAAGAGTCTAAAATGTCAAAAATTGTTAGAATTCATGTACATATTCATATGTACATATATTGGGTATTTCAGATCATTTGTATCACCCTTTTGTCTTTGCAGGATAACATTCAATCGAAAAAGAGTTCAAACAAAAATTTTAGGGTTTAAAAAGATCTATTTGTTGATTTCATCTGTTTAACCTTAGATGATGTCGCCAAGGTTAGGTTCATGTCACGATAATTTTTTTTAAATAGAAATCTCCATTTTTTAATGCATATCCTTGTAGCTTATCTCAAGGGTTTTTATCATAACCCTGAACAGCATTTCAAAGGTTTTTTAACCATCATTTGGACATTATAAATAATGCTAATGCCACAGCAATATTGTAACTTATAATTTAAAAAATATTCTATGGAAAAATGTTTTGTTATAGCGTTTTGAAAAGCTCGAGATAAGATACAAAAATATGTAATTAAAAAATGGGGATTTTTATTTAAAAAATTGACGTAACTTTTATCTAATCTTGACGATGCTATCCAAAGTCAAACTGATAAGATCAGTAAATTAATTTTTAATTTAAATCTTATAACTTTTGTCTGAACATTTTCAATTGGACGTTATCTTGCGAAGATAAAAGGATGGTACAGGTGGTCTGAAACATCCGATATATATGTATGTACGCACACATATATGGTGAGGCATTTAAAACAAGCTACCTGAATAACTTGGTTATTTTTGATGATATTAAAATAAATAATTGAAGAATTAAAGGACTCTTTTATATAACAATAATTAATACGTTAAAAATGGCGAATAAGAGTCAAATTACAATTTAAAATCTGAATCTAATAATTTATTCTAATATTCTATATTGCGAAGAATATCACGTAATTTTTGGCGTTTCGTCCCGGCTTCCACTACTGGACTCATCAGTAAGGTATTGTAATGATATAAAATAATATTTTAAATGAAAATGGAACGGTTTCGAATGGGATGTGTTTTGGTCATATTGTTTTTTGTTTAGGTGAAGGCACCTAAAAGATATTAAGGTCACCTTCACGTTTTAAAATGGAATTACATGACTTTATTTACATAATATGATTTTTTAAAACAAATCTACATATAATGTATTTGAGGCCTTTACGGGTATCCTCAATTATATACCAGAAGATTTGCTGGTTATCACCATGTTGTTTTTATCCATTGCTAATGCCAACGTTTTGTGAACTTTGCCGTTCATTTCATCAGAGCGAGAGGTACACTGATACTATTCTAGTATTCTGCATATAAAAGTATGAAGGTACACATATCAAAAAAACCAATTGTTTACGAGATATTTTATACTTTATTCTGACATATATGTTGACATATGATATTAAATATCTTCTAAACGATTGGTTTTTTAATATGTATACCTTCATACTTTTATATGAAGAATTGTTTAAAAAATTATATTATGTAAATAAAGTCATGTAATTCCATTTAAAAAAATGGAGGTGATCTTAATATCTTTTAGGTGTCTCCACCTAAACAAAAAATAAACACGTCCCTCTTCAAACTATTCCACTTTCATTTGAAACATTTTTTCATATCATTAAAAATATGCAAGTAATTTGGGTGGCCCGTTTTGGATTCCTCACCATGTAGACTATACATGTATGTACATTATGCATTATATAAAATTAAAGTTAAAAACATACTCTAGATTTACGAGGGCATCTAGATTTTCTATTGTTATAATTTGATTATCTCTTAATTCCAATTCTACCAAACTAATAAGTGTATCAAGATTTTCTATCTTTTTAATCAGATTCCATGTGAAGCATAATCTTCGTACTTGTGTTAATGGTTCTAGATTTTCTAGTTTGGTTAATCTTGAGTGATTGAAGTCTAATTCCTAAAACAATTGATATAATAATAATCTCAGTGACAAAGTAACTTACAGCACACATGCACGCACACAGAAATTGTCATATATATATATATATATATAATTTCTAAAATTTGAAAACCTTAAACTTTATTTAACAGAATAAAGGAATAATGTCCATTTTTATTAACTAAAATATTAACTTTTTATAAATAAATAAATAAAACTTTATAAATGAATAAAATATTAACTTTAATCTTAACTTAATATCTTCTTCTAATTCTTGTATGTTTACAATTCTACTAATAGATCTGTTCTTTTTAGTTAAAGTTCTTGCACGGTTTACTTTTCTTCCTTTTTTCTCCGTGTTGAAGAAAAAAAGAGAAAAGACAAATCATATAAAAAGTTCAGCTAAAAAAACATCTAATGTAATTTAATCACAATTTAATTTGTTTATTTTTTTCTAATCCTTAAAACTAGAAAATAAAAATAAATAAACCGAAATGTAATTTAATCTATATTAGTAGAAATGGTTATTACAGCTAGAAAAAGTTGAAGAATAAGTTAAATTAATTAAAAAGTTGAATAAGTTAAATTAATTCTATAATGAGTCAGAAGTCTTAGTTTTAGGACTGATTGTTCCATCTTTTGATACATTTTATCTGTTAGGTAAATATCAAGATTATTCAATTATATACGTAGATTGCCAGATTTACCTAATGGGTACAATTTACCAAAAAATGGAACAATCGGCCCTTAAATCAGTCAAGTTCGCTAATCAGTGTTAGTCGTACAAGTTTGGCTATTGATCAACTATATCAATAAAATTTAGGACTCAATGGAGAATCAGCATTAATCAAGATTAAAATTTGATCTATATTGGTGAAAATGGACATCAAGAAAAAGACATTTCAATATTAGGATTTATAATTAATAGCTTTCGATAATATATATATATATATATATATATATATATTATTTTGTTTAATAAAAATAAGTAAGAAACACACTTCGCTATCAGGATCTATAATTAATATCTTATCAGGCTCTCTCTCCTCGGAGTCCTCTCCCTCGTTTTCTGCTTTTATTTCGACGGAACTCTCGCTTTTATTCTCGTCTACAATAATTAAATTAAACATAACCTAAGTCCATACGTGATTACATGTACGAAAATTTTACTCCTTGAGTATCGTACCATAATTAGCCATTGTGAGATTTGTCGTGTGACGACTTGACGAGAAAAGTGATGGATGTAGATTTCTTGACAGACTTAGATATTAACTCAAATCACCCTAAAATCACCTTAAAACATCAGTGATTACCTACTTTCGTTCGATTAACTGATACTTTCAACAATGCACGGTTAAAATGACACTAAACACATTCTAGTTTACACTGCATAATACTAAAACGATGAAGGTCTAAACAAACTACGTGAAGGAAAAATCCATAAGCTTATGTGTGTGTGTAAGCATGCTAATAATTATAAATAACAAATCAATCAAACATCGTATAACACTTTGACTACGTAAGATTGTATAAGTATGGACTGCCAATAATCGCCTTCACGACACTTCACAATTCATACTGGTTGTGTCAAAACCATGGGATATTTTCACCATGGTCAAAACGACGGGCACATTCAGCGGACTCAACAGTTGAGTGAGCGCTCGCTATTATTGGTGTATTCTTCCAGATCTAAAATTCTGATTGGGTGATCTAAAAGATTACACCAATAACAGCGAGCGCTCACTCAACTGTTGAGTCCGCTGAATGCGTCCATTAGTTGCAAGCCGATCGCAAGTTCGTTGCGACAGCCAATCTCAAGCTTGCATTTTGAAATCAATGCTTCAGATTGGCTGTCGCAACAAACTTGCGATCGGTTTGCAACTAATGTAGAACCGGCTTTAGGGCCACTGTCACCTAGGCCGGTATTCATAGTCAGTTCTTATATTCAAGACCGTCTTAAGTTCAGTCATGAAGGAAGATATAAGGAGACTCCACTCGGTCTCGCCAGTCTACAAGACATGAACCCATTTTAGGTTTCGAGTTCCGTTTCCGATCCTCGACACTCGCAGCGCTCGTGAATTTAGTAGTGCTGCGCATAATGAGTGCGAGTAAGAGAAATGATCATTTCTCTTACTCGCACTCATCAGAATCGGAAGCTGAACTCGAAACCTAAAATGGGTCCACTTTTATTTTACGGAGTGGAGTCTCCTTATATCTTACTTCCTGGCAAAAGCTGTGCTCCCCGCTTAAGGCCGGTATTCATAGTCGGTTCTTATTTTAAGATCGTCTTAAGTAATGTCTTAAGCCGTAATCACACTACGGGTTGCGCGCTCTGTTGCGATTGAGATTACGGTTGAATGTTGAAAACTAACCAATCAGAGCAGTGCATGCTTAGGGTGCTGTCCCATGATACGGAAATTACACCGGAACGGAACAGTGAGACCAATCACAATCGCAGAAAGGAAAGTAGAGTAATGATTGCAGAGATCTGATTGGTCTCACTGTTCCGTTCCGGTGTAATTTCCGTATCATGGGACAGCACCCTTAGTTTCCAACATGCAACCGTAATCTCAATCGCAACAGAGCGCGCAACCCGTAGTGTGATTACGGCTTAAGGCCGCAGCACACACTTTTGCATAACGCATGAAGCATGTGCATAAGGAATTTCATTGGCCCATTTTCTTATGCATGAGTCAATGGACCAATCAAATTCTTTATGTATATGGTTTATGCAAAAGTGTGTGCTGCGGCCTTTAGCCTTATTGACCGCGGCAAGCGCCCTCACGTCGCGCCATGACGTCATCGCGCCAGCGCTCGCCGTTCGGCCATTTTATGTGAATGTGCGCTTTCCGTTTTCACGAGGTATTTGTGTTGCAGGATTCGTGGTAATCGTGGTCAGTGACGTACAGTGACGGAGATAAACTCGGATGATTTAGCTTCGCGTTAAAAGGGACACGTTCGGGCGTTCGTATTGTATGCGTTAGTGAAAAGTGCGATCGACCGCACACGACCGCGTTGACTTGCCGTGTAAAATTGTGGAACAAGTACGATGGAGGATAAGGCGTCGCTCAAGGAACTTGACCAGTGGATAGAACAATTAAACGACTGCAAACAACTGACAGAAAGCCAAGTGAAAACCCTCTGCGATAAGGTACATGTTCGACATATTCGTTAAGCATGACTCCGCCCCGTTCGCAACACCCCCGTGTGAATGGCCGCACGTTACATTAATTACTCAAGTATTCGCAGTTATTCGTGGCACGGCTGTCGCGTACCGCGTTCGAACGCATCATCTACCGTTCTGATTTGTGTTATCTTACATTGCTATTAAACATGGTATCGCCGATATATCACGGACGCTACGGGAGTTCACGGGACGTTCATGAGAATTATTGGGCACTCCGGGAAATTTCGGGATTTTCCTCATCCCGTGTCGTCTCGTGTGGTCTCGTTCCCGACGGTGAACCGCGATGAACCTCCCTCCCGAGAAGCACGCGTTTTAGTGATCACCTTTTGATAACGACCAAACGGTCCTCTCTTGAACGATTATTCATGCTTATACATGCCGTTTTAAACCTGTTAACGCAATTCCGCAACAGGTGAACGCTCTGTCGTTACATCGTAATTAATTTATACTGATGTATGTCTTTTGATGTACTTGTGGCTCTATGGGCAGTATACATAGTCCGTTGTTATTTTAAGACCATCTTATGCCTGGTTTATGCTTCAGGTCTTAATCCCAAGATCCTAAAATTCAACCAATAAAGCTGCCAGTTCTAACCGAAATTTGAACTCTATTGGCTCTGAATTTTAGGATTAAGATCTTAAGACCGAAGCATTACACCAGGCATTAAGTAATGTCTTAAGATGCTAATGCAGCTGTCTCATTGGTTCGTAAAACACCTCAAAAACTTAAGACGGTCTTGAATATAAGGACTGCTTATGACTTGTCTTGGAGATGAATAGTCTTATCAGTTATGATAACTGTGACAAATATGCTTTATCGGTAGTAACATCTGTCATTGCTATTTTTCTTTTGATTAGCGAGTATGATTACGAGAAACATTATCACTGCTATGAATCATGTGGTCACTTATAGATTGAGATATTCTATCATATTTAATTAATGTAATGAGAAAAATAAGCATTGTGCTTCAAGTTTATTAAAATATTAGCCAGAGAAGGGAGACTTTTTGGTATCCTTATAGCTTTAATTTAATATTAGTTAATTTAAAGCTGAAAAATAATGAATTACTCATCTTGAGTATTAAAAGCACTGGATGTTAAGTGCTTAATAAGTAATTAAAAAAAATTCTTGTAAGGGTATATATTTGGCAAACTATGTGTGTGGAAAGAAATGTTAATATGAGAATTCTTAAAAGCAAACGATACTTGTGTAAAGGTTCATTTAAAAAATATTCTGTATATTTGATTACTTTGAGGTTGATTTTAATATTTCTAATAGATTGAGCTAAATGAAACGAGTATTTTTGAATGAATTTATATTTTAACATTTGAAAATAGTATTGTAGCTATTTATTTATATTTTTTGTAATAATGTTTCTTCTTATTGTATTGATATTGATATAATATGCTAGTTGGCCAAAGTATCTGTTTTTCTAAATGTATGCTAATAATTATATTTGTAATTGACTAGAAATTCATTTATTACGAGAGAAATTTCTATTTGAGTATTGAGAGATAATTTGTGATTACAATGGACTTATAATTTAAGAGATCTGCCATCATCTGATATCTTTCTTATCAGTTGATAATAGAAGTTTACAACATTAGATCTATTCTTTATTCTTACACTGTTTGAATTAGTGTAATAAATTAAAATAAAATATATATATTTGTTTTACTTCAACTTATTGCACTAGTCTAAGTGGTGCAGGAATAAAGAATAGATCTATTATCTCATATATCTGTAAAAATGAACTTAGCGCCGAGACACTACCGTGTCTCCAGATTTTTGATTAATTTTTTAAATATGGTTATATTATGTATATAGGGAATAAAGTTTGTTTTGTTTTAGCTAAATTACTTATCTCCATAGTTAATATTTTCTTTTTTTTTCCAATATAAAAAAAAAGAGGAAAGATAAACCATAAGAAGCTTCAGTTAAAAATAACACACGCGTGCGCGCGCGCGCTTACACACACACACACACACACACACACACACACAGTACTTGTTGCAAATTAATCTACTTTTATTTTTAATAAAACAAGATAGGCTCAGATAAATAAATTCAAAGAAACAAATAAAATGCCAATATGAACCAACACAAGTTATTAGTGTGTGCTTTTAATACAATTTATTCGAAATAAATAGTAAATTTTATTTTTAATGTTTTTGACAGCTGTATGTATGTATGTCAGCAATAGTGTCTTATAATAATTAAAATTTTCAGGCGAAAGAAATTTTAGCTAAGGAATCAAATGTACAAGAAGTAAAATGTCCTGTAACAGTATGTGGAGATGTACATGGACAGTTCCACGATTTGATGGAATTATTCAGAATAGGTGGCAAATCACCTGATACGAATTACCTTTTTATGGGTGACTATGTTGATCGTGGTTATTATTCAGTCGAGACTGTTACTTTGCTTGTAGCTCTTAAGGTATAGTATAATATACGTTATTATAATTTTATTAAATTGTCATACTGCACTAATAAACTGTTAATGTATTATACAATATATTTAACTATGTATATTACACACACACACACACACACACACGTTAATTTCTTTAAAAATAGTAAGAAGTATATATTTATATCTTTTTCTTGTTTGTTTTATACAATTAAAGGTAAGATATCGAGAAAGAATAACCATTCTACGAGGAAATCACGAATCAAGACAAATCACACAAGTGTATGGTTTTTACGATGAATGCTTACGTAAATATGGAAATGCCAATGTATGGAAATTCTTTACGGACTTATTCGATTATTTACCATTAACAGCATTGGTCGATGGTCAAATATTTTGTTTGCATGGTGGTCTGTCACCATCAATTGACACTTTAGATCACATACGTGCTCTAGATCGTCTTCAGGAAGTACCACATGAAGTTAGTTCCTGCATTTATAATTTTTATAACTATTGTAATAACAGAACTTAATTTAGTGTTATAATTGTTCGTTATTTAATACAGGGTCCTATGTGCGATCTGCTTTGGTCAGATCCAGATGATAGAGGAGGATGGGGTATTTCACCCCGTGGAGCAGGATATACCTTTGGTCAAGATATTTCTGAAACGTTTAATCACTCCAATGGACTAACACTTGTCTCACGAGCTCATCAATTAGTTATGGAGGGTTATAATTGGTATGAGTAGTTTGACATTCGGTTAGATTAAAATAACTTTTTTCTTCTCTGTACACGTATGTACAGTTTAACATTCCAGGAT